ATTCAGGGCTTCCTACACTACATATTTTTAGGGTAAAGTAAGGGATTTTCTTGCTGCATTCAATACTGTGGCAAATCAGACTAAAGGCAAAATCCCTCCTAAAACCAGCATGAAGTGAAACTGGCTACAGTCCAGGCCTGACACAGCAACAGCAGGGATGAAACCGGGAATTTGCTGATGTCTGTGACTCACATACTTAAAATTAGAACTATATCACATCAGTGTCCTTCCCATCCAGTATACGCCAGTTTCTTATCACTGCACTGTATCTTAATGTACAAAGGCATATTACAGGCTCTAGTATATGTCTTGGATTCCACTGCCACTGCTGTGTTGTCATTAGCAAATTTAACAGGAATACTGTCCTGTGATGTCGTTCATCAGGGATTTTCCATCGCATCGTTACCGTAGTTTCCATTTCCAGAGACTCTGGTCAGTCGACTGTAGTCCAGCCTCCTTGTCTGTCTGAGACACATCTTCAAAAGATATGTTTTTCATTACATAACAGCAGTCTGGAATAAATAAATAAAAACTCATACAACACCTTGGGTGGTAAAGCTGATGTTTTTATGCCCTCTGCAGGATCTTACAGGTTCCGTAGCCTTTCAGATGGATGGGGATGTGTGGGATTTAGCAGCTTCCTTGTTGTCTTCACAGAAGTCCTGCACTGGCTTTCTTTGGTTCAGATGATCACTAGTTTACTAGTTTTGATAATAATTTCAACTAGTAGTAGTAGTAGTAGTAGTAAGCTTGTAACAAACAATTTAAATTACGGTAATGTTTTACATTAGGCATTAAGCTCACTTTTCCATAAAATGGCGTCAATGAAAAGGGCTGAAAACACAGAGCTACAATCTGAAAAGTGCTTAAATCACTGTGGAACCCAGACATTCTTTTCCGTTGTGTGTGTCCGGGGAGGAAATATGTTTGAATGAGTGTGGTATGTGAGCAGCTCCTGTGCTTCCCTTCCTGAGAATCAGCTACCCTCTGATTAGCATCTCTGGCAAACAAACGTCAGCAAAGTTCAGGATGGAGATCTTAAAATAACAGCAGTTGGGTGAGAGGGTTCAAAGCCTCAACACACTTTTATTTTCTATTTATTAAGTCCAGATGAAATCAAACATGCCTTTTTAACCATTTAATATTACATCCCCAGTCATACTGTACCCTTATTTAACAGTCTATGCCAAAAAATTTACAAAAACGTAATTTCTTTGTGTTTTTATATCGAAATCCAATCATTTTTTTCTTCCTGTAAAACAAAATGTGATGCGTGCTTATGTAAGAATGAACTAACTGGTTTCAACCAACAATATCATGACATTCACCTGTCATCAATCATAAACTTCAACGACACAGAGTAAAGATTCATTAGTTAGATAGCTAGCAACAGCATGGGTAGCTATGAGAGAGGAGTGCTTCTGGGGCCCGGACCTCAATGATAACGGTACAAAAACACAGTGGTATTACTTGTACAAAAGCACAACATCTTGATCAGTGATTTGGGTGTAGGTGGATCATATTTTATGGAGAGAATATTCTCTGGTTTTCCCTTTGACATCTTCCAGGTGCTCTGCCTTGACTTAGCTAACTGCTAATGTAGCTACCTTTAGCGAACGGGGCTCAGCAGCCTCCCACTGAACACAACCTCCTAGACTGACAGAGGCCAGTTTGATGACGGCAGTACCGATGCGATTTACAGAGTTTCCAGATGGAGTGGTTGTTAAAAGAAGTACCACCTAGCTTGTGCAGCTAACATTAGCTGACTTAGCCCCAGGGTGTCAGGAGCCAAAACAGACAAGAAAAACACCTTGGTATTTTATTCTCTGCCGTCAAACTGCCCTCCGTGAGTACCGGACGCTGTATTTGGTCCCAGTCCGGCCGAGCTGTTCACTGGGAGCTGCTTGACTGGGGATTTTTTACAGGATATACATAAATATGCGGAAGGAAATAGCACTCTGATTTCCATTTCATGTGGACGTTAAATAAAACCTGAACAAACCAGGTCTTTTAGCATATTCACAGTATTCTTGTCATACAAATGGTGATGTAAGGTAAGGTGCAGTGTAAATGTGCCCAGTGGAAAGTATATGTTTCAGCTGGCAACTTCCCATGTAAGCGGTTGGCTTCACATTACAGTGGGAGGAAACTCTTGGGTAAACTTCAATACTCAGTAATCCTGCAACCCTGCTGACAGAGAGTGTACAGAAACTCACTGTTTTATTCATCATTTCCTCTGATTGGAGGGGGTGACCTCATCTGACACAAGATTCTGTTGCCTCTTCTGTTGTTTGTTCAAGTATTTGTTAGGTCTGTTTATTTTACTGGATAGACGACAGAAGAGTTGAGTCAACAAAATTCTGGCAAAAAAATACTTTTGTTAATTTCATTGTGAAATTTGAAAAAAAAAACTATGACAGTATTAAGGGGAAAAGAAGGAGAGATTCTGAGAAAATGTACAGTTTTTAAATATTACATATTACACAAAACGTATAATGGCTTTTTCTTTACAATATTAAGTATAAGTGATACTTTCTTATCTTGTAATATAACATTTCCTTTTAATTATAACTTAATTCTCACAATATTAGTTATTACTAGATTCTTAAGAATAATTATTTATTTTTACATACAAGACAAAACAATAATTGTTGAAGCATTTAAGGAACCAGTGAATAGAATTTAGTGATATCTAGAGGTGAAGTTATAGTATCTAAAAGAACACCGGTCTCGTCTGTATTTGACAACCTGGGAGTGAGAACAGACTGTCAATGTGTAGGAGAAACTACGGTGGCAGTAAAACCCATGCCCCTTCTACAGCTAGTGTTTGTCTGTTCTGGGCTACTGTAGAAACATGGCGGTTCAACATGGCGGACTCCGTGGAAGAGAACTCACGGGGTCTGTAGATTATTATTTTACCATCTTAATGTGGGTGATGCTAATAAAAAGATACCTGCCAATAGATCCTCCTAAATGTTACACACTGAACATTGAAAGCAGTTGAAGTGTCAGTTGATGTTGAAGCACTGAAAGGGTTTGAAGTATAAAAGCAGTGGAAATCTGTTGAAATGTAATCTGGAATTTGAATATGACAACATGAGTATGCCCTGTGGGCCCTTAAACTGTCTGTTTGTATGTAAGCACTGAAAGCAGTTGAACTGTCATTTGAAGAGCAAAAGATGAAAGTGGTTGTAGCATCAGATGCTATGTAAGCAGTGACAGCAGTTGAAATGTCATGGATGTGATAATGGCCAAAGCTCAACTCTTACGCCTCTTCCTGTAGAAAACATGAAAAAGTGAGTGAGTGCACACAGTCAGAGCGTCATCGTGTTGCGTCTCCGCTCTGCTGCAGCTGAACCAGGACTTCAGGAAATCCTCGCATCGATGATAAGCAGCTGGTGAACTTTGACCTCACTCAGACTGAGCTGAGGTTTAGTTAACTGCAGTATGGTTCGCCGTTTATCTGTGTGTGTGTGTGTGTGTGTTGTCGCCGCTGGTTATCAGTAAAGATTACATTAGATAATTGGAAAAACAAACCACATGATAGCCTTTGTAGGTCTTATTGAAGTCCTCACAGATACAGACACACAGACACACACAACAGGGCACTCAGAGGTCAGAAACCAACAGCAGCTCCACCCTGGTGATTAATTAATTTTTATCAGCTTTCCGTTCTCTATCCAGACTCCCATGTTTCAAAAACTTTCTCTCTCTTTCTTTTCTTCAAATCTTTTGCCCAATCAACTGCAGCAATTTAGTATTGAGTGTGTTGTACCGGTGGGGCTGGTTGGCAAACTACTACAGGCTAGTCCAAGGTCAGCACTGTCAAAACCGTTTGCTATCATGTCATGCTTCTTCCAGATTCAGATTCAGATTCAGAAATAACTTTAATAATCCAGAGGGAAATTATATTCGTTACATACTCCAAGATAACAAATGACATATATACCAACCAACATAAATATATATACAAATTCAACACAAAAAAATATAGAATATATAACACATATGTAACTATATATTATAATAATATATATATACAGATCAATATACAGTAAATAATAAAAATGTGCCAAAAGAGTGCAAAAGAATGAATTAAAATGTCTATAATTGAGTCTTTGCACAGCGAGCCTTCAGATAAAAACTCTTGTACTCATCACAGCATCTTGAAAACCGCATTTTCCGACCAGTGGATCAGGGGGGCTGCGTCTGCAACCTAATGTAGCCTTTCCCTAGCAACCATCAGAGAACTACTCTCTTCAAGCTCTCTCTTTTATTTCACACAGCATGCTTTTCACCCAACTTTCAGCCTGTGGCAAGCCGACAATGAATTGCCTTTTGAGGACGGACTGTGCCAGAAGTGGTTCGCTGTTATTCATTCGTTCATCCATATCGCGCTCCTGTCCAACAACAGGCCGCAGCCCCTGCGTGTCAAGGTCACTTTACCGTTTAAAAACACGTGGAGATGGCGGATTTGTTCCAGTGCATACTGAAGTGGACAAACGCCATTCCTGCAGGTTTTTATCTTCAAGGAAAGGGAAGTGGATTTTGGCCTGTGGAGTTTTTCATTCCTGGGCCTCAAACACACACACACACACCCCCTCCCTCTTTCTCCCTCTGAGGTCAGTAGATGCTGTTGATAGACTGGAAGTTACACATAAACACATTAGATTAAGAAGAACTTTGATTGGGATGTTTATTTTGACGACTGCTCCCCCCTACACACACACACACACACACACACACACACATACAAACACCACCTATTACATGAAGCATCGAACCCCAGCAAAATGACAGTAATGTGTTTCCTGTCTAAACTGAATGTGTGTGTGTGCTCATGCAGAATGTGTGTGAGTGTTTGCGTAAGTGCACTATCTCAGTTTGAGTGAGCGGGGGGGGGAGAGAGATAGAAAGAGAGATCGGCAGAGACTGAGAGAGCTTCAGAGAGTGAAATGCAAAGAGAGCGTTATCAGAGGAGGAAGAAAACCAGACAGACAAATCCCTCTCAGTTTGGATCTGATGAGGCGCAACAGTGAGCCCGTTGAGGACAGAAAGAAAAGAGCAAGTTTGAGTCCAGTCGGCCGTCTGTTCGACATTACTGTCATGGACCTATTGCCAGCGTTGGCATCCACAGTGTTCGCCTCAACAGTCAGCCGGCTGAGAGAGAGCACTGCTGTTCAGAGCATCAACAGGAGGCTCAGCAGGAGGTAGGCAACACCTGGCAGCTCACCTGAATCGTATACGGGCATTTCTGAAGAGTTTGCCCAAATATGAACTGTTTATAGCACCAGCCATTAGATCCATCTGTTCTTTAACTTTCTCCATTAATAATATTGTAGAAGAACAGCCAGCATTATGGAAATGAGATGCATAGAATGAATGCACGAGCCATACAGTAGCAAACACTTGATGATTTCTGGCTTAATATTCTCTTCAAGGCAGTCCAGTCCAGTTTGTGTGTGTGTGTTTTCTGAGAGAGATTAAGAGGGCATGGTTGTTGCAGCTGTGGCTTGTAGCCGCAGTCACACTGAGAATTTGGTCCTACATTGTTGTGTTTGGTCAAAGGCTGGTGGATGTGTCTCACAGTGTGATCTCAGATCTAGGACTTTGGATAGACAGCTAACTTTGGAATTCCTCCTGTATTGACAGAAATACTGTAATTTCGGAGCAGAATTTCTTTTTCTCTTCTGTTTTTTTGGAGTCAGCGTGGCTGAAATGGTTATGGGGAAACGAGGAACGAGCTCATTTTTATTGTTGACTGGGTCCATTTTTAGATACATTTTAAAAAGACATTGTAAGATAAAGTATATTAGCTGGTTAGGAAGCAGACTTGGTAACAGAGAGGATGTGGGTTTAAATCCTTTCTGGAAATGAATATCTCTTTTTTTCTTATTTTATCCTTAAGGTACAACCAAACTAATTTCTTCATCTCTTCTCTCCTGTCTTTGCAGAACCATGTCGTCTCCAGAGGTGTGCTGGCCAGTGCCGATGCGAGCCATTGGGGCTCAGAACCTCCTCACCATGCCAGGAGGAGTTTCCAATGCAGGATACCTCCATAAGAAAGGAGGCAGTCAGTTCAGCCTCATGAAATGTGAGTTCATATCAGAAATATTAAGAGTGGGTGGACAGAATAGGCAGAATGTGCGACAATATATTTTAATCTCCAATGATATTCTCTGTATTGATCCAGCAGACCTCAGTCAAGTGTAAAAACCTTTTCAGCTTTTTCAAAAGTGTTTGCTTTCAGGTGTATTTGTGCCCATATTCAGTTTCATTACACAGGCGGTTGGATGCAAACATTCTTAACATCTGCTCCCTCACTTACAGGGCCTCTGAGGTACACCATCCTCCACAAGGGCTGCATTTACTACTTCAAGAGCAGTACCTCTCCTGCACCACAGGGGGCGTTCTCTCTCAATGGCTACAACAGGTCAGTAGTTTGCTGACGTGTGGCTTAATGTTTGACTTACAGGAAGGTCTCGTGGTTGGTGTAATTTGTGTAAAAGTTGTAGTCGGACGACAAAATGGCAAGTTCGCCTAGAATTCACAGCTATTGGTTGAATTTGTGTCAGTCACATGTGACACTAGCTCTACAGGACAGGAAGTCACCAGCAGAGCTAGTTCATTAGGGTACTTTGGCATTCTTGTCTTACTATCACTATAAGAATGAATACAGGCTCAGAGTGGAAATCTGAATATTTCACTTCATGGATAGAAATATTTCCCAACACATTCCTCCTCTTCCACAGAGTGATGAGAGCAGCAGAGGAGACAACGTCGAGTAATGTCTTTCCCTTCAAGATCGTCCACTTCAGTAAGAAACACAGGACGTGGTTTTTCTCTGCAGCCAGCGAGGACGAGAGAAGGGTGAGAACAACACATGTACTATACATATAACTACATGTGCGTGTGAGTGTGTATAGTTTGGGTAACCAGCTAAGGAAGTTGTAATTTTAACACAGTTGACATTTTATGCCTCCTTTTCATTATTAATGTAGTTTGCATGAAAGCCCCCCAAATTATGAAATAACAAAACTAAATAATTGGAATAACAACGAATCACACAAGCAGCCACTTAACTACGTATTATTTTTGCCTTTACAGAAATGGATGCGATACCTGCGGAGGGAGATAGATCACTATAACGACAGAAAAGAGTTCATTCCAAGGTAACTTCAGCAAATTACATCATATTTCACAACACAATGTAGACGTGAAGTGTCATAAGATTTGTGTTGATTTCATAAAAGGTTGAGACATCAAACCTATAAACCTAACCTAACCTAACCCAAAGCACAGATCAACTGAAAAGAACTTTATTCAGTGGGTCCAAAACATCTGTCATTTTCTACCATTGTACACACCACACACTTCTCCTTTGTCACAGCCAGTCGGGCTCCTTCACCACTTTACTTATATGAAAACAGTCAGTTTCATTCCTGAACCATAACTAAGATATTTTATTCAAGTTATTGTAATTTAAGAAAAATACAAATTAGTTTTCTCTTTTTGTAGGATATAACTTGCTTAAATTTGGATAATAAATTACATAATTCATAACATAATAAAGAATAAAATCAAATAATACAAATTTCCTCTTTTATAAATCCGTTCATGGTGGCAACAGTCATAATGGTGGAAGCTTAGCTAACTAGCTAGCTTGCAAACTAGCTTATAGCAATAATGGCTAGTTTGCAAAGATCTGTCTACAGCCTGCAATAAATGTCGTGAATCTAGAGCCAATGAAATCCACGTAAACTTGATTTTTCAATCTTATATATTCATGATAACGTTTTCTTTGTCGCCATAGTGACTCAGATTCAGATGCTGACAGCTTCTATGGCACAATTGAGAGGCCAATGGATATCAAACACCCCATCGACAACACAGAAGTTGGTAAGACCACCTTAATAATTACATAGGCACAACACGCACGTTCTACTCGCGTGTTATTAAACTGTGGTACCTGTCCTTCCTCTGCGTAGATTATGTGGAGGATGATGACGATGACGATGAGGAAGACTATGTGAAGCCGGACAGCGATTGCTCACCAACATCAACAGGTGACGCCACGCACACCTTTTCAGCCAACTCGCATGCAGTCCATTTCAATGAAGGTGACCGCACAATGAACTCCAAATGTTGCATCACTGACATCTTAACTGACAGTTATGAGGTCAAAGGTTTATTTACAGTTTTACATGTAGGGCAATAATAAGTGCAATAAACATGTAGGAAAACAAAATTTAACAAAAGAATCTTTAACCAAAAACTCTTATTTATCTTCATCATTTTTTTTTTACGTCTTCAGGTCGACCCACGGGGCCACCACCTTCATACCCTCCTCCCCCAGTGCCGGCCACATTCCGCCAGGACTCCAGTCCAGGTTTCCTCAAAGGTATATACCACCTCCTGCCCCGCCACAAAACAGGATCCCAACCAGTGCACTCCCCAAAAAACCCCCGCCCTCCATCCCTCCCCCCTCCATACTAAAGGACCTTAGCAAAGGCCCGCCTCCTCCTATCCCCTTCGCCCCCCACCTGCACAAGTCCTTCTCCTCCACCCCCCCGCCTCCTCCTCCTCCCAACGCAAAGAAAACTCTTCAAAACAGGACGACATCCATGGGGGGGCCCGGGAGCGACGGGAGAGAGCGGAGGAATCTGCCGGCTGTGTCGATCCAATCCCCCGCAACACTGCCCATCTGCAACCAATTGGAGACCAGGATGGTCCTAAATGGTCCCGCCAACTGCCCCCTTAACACTGGAGGGAGTCAGTCTCTGGGCAACAACCACCACGGGGGGTTGGGCAACCTCCGCAGCAAGCCAAGCCTACCGATTCCTCATTTTGCAAACATTGGAGGTACCCCCCTCAGACCTGTGATGTCCCTCAACCAGACATCAATGCCCGGCCCCCCTCCACTCTCCCCTCTGCTTAAAACTGGACTACACAATAAGCCAGCGATACCCAAACCTCCTCTGCCAACAGTCAAGCCCCAGCTGCCTGCAGCCAAGTCCAAACCGCCAGGAACCCCACTTCAGTAAGTTGGACTCACTCACACAAAACATTCAAAAAGTGCACCAAAAATACAGAAAGGTAACCGGGTTGAAAGTACCAAACTTAAACGTGTTTTCCCCTCAGAAGAGCATCTCCAGATGGCCAGAGCTTCCGTTCGTTGGGAGATGAGACGCCCACAGATTTCAGGAGGAAACGAGACTCGGGCAAACACACCGTGGGAGACGAGTCTGATGAGGACTATGAGAATGTAAGAGGGACTGAGTGATGTGATACTGACCCTAACTGCAGGCTTCTGGAGTACTGTGTATAGATGTTGCTGTAAAACTCAACGCAACAGGACATCAGTTTGTCTCAGGCTGTTGACATGAAGGTGCACAAACCACACAACTGATCTCAGACCAGGTGTACTGATTTCAAGGTTGCTCCACTTGGAGAAATTGAATTAAATTAGTGCAATATTATGAGAGAGGTCACTCACATTGCGTTTGTCAGGAGCAAATGTGATGTTTTCTTCCCCTGACACATGGTGCTTGTATCCAACAGAAGAGCTGCTCTGTAAATAGGACAGAATGGTTGACTGTTTACCTTCAGTGTCTTTGTGTGAGCTCACCACTGATATCATTTTATCTATATTTTCTACAACTGCAAATCTTTTAGTCAACAAACTTATTTCTGTGGCTTTTTGTTGCTCTTTCTGTATTTAATGTCTCAGATTGTGTTAAACCAGGTGTTCCTCTCTGCAGGTGCAGCTGCCGGACTCTGTGTTCATTAACACGACTGAAACCAGCTTCGTAGAAAAGTATGACACACTTTTTATAACACAGAGCTGTAAACTGGAATATTCATTCAGTCTGTTTCTGCCCTCTAGTGGCAAACAAGAAAATCGCTTTCTCTTTCTGCTTTATTTCATGCAATTATTTTAGTGACATTGTTATTTACTTTATTTATGATGAAGTTTCTCTTATGTGTTTTATTAACCCTAGTTTTAATCTAAATTTAACACATGGGAAAACACATCTGCTACATGTATTCTTGTTCAGTCTTTCTTGTTTGCAGCAGTAGTGCAGTAGTCCAGTATATTTGTGTTTGTGTGTCTGTGTCTGTTGATGAGCTGTAACCAGTGATGATGTTTGTATCTGCAGGTTATTCAGAGAGAGCCCCATCCCTCCACAGGATGGACTGTACGGCATCAGAAACTCAGGAACCAAAACCTCACGGGTAAAAATATAAAACTGCTGTGGTCGGTGACATTATAGACACTGGGAGGTCCACATGAGAGCCCCTCCACCAAAATCTTTTTAATGCATTTCCCACAATTCACACATAGTGAACATTTTTGATGACCACAATGACATTTGTTTTGATATTTTTAACACAGTTGTGGTCTGCTCTGGGCAGCATGCATGGAAATTAATTCCTACAATTTATATTTTTTGTATTTTCCCCAACTGGAATGGCCACACTGAATCTGAGTGCACTGAATGAGTGTACAGGGTGAAACCAGGTGTACAGCTACACTTACTTTCACTTTTCTTTATCAAATGGAAATAAATGATATTATATTATACTGACGTTAGCATTTAGCTCAAAGTACTACTGTGGCTAAGTACATTCTCACAGAGCAGCTAGCATGGCTAGTGTTAAAATTACGTGAGATGCTGGATAGTTAAACTCAAGATTAGTTTTTCTTCTTCAGAAAATGGATATTAAAACTGAACTACTACTTTACCCTCAGCTCACTCAGTATGAAATAAACAGGCTGCTAGAAATAGAAAGCTTACCCGAAAGAGACTATAAGAGAGTATAAGAGAGTATGGGGGTTTTAAATGAAAACAAATCTCAAATAACTTTAGACTGGATTACCCATCATCCTTTGTTCTGGTATCTTAATAACTGAAGTCTGTGATACTGATGTAAGAGACAGTCCTAATTGGAATAACTTTGCTGTGTTGTCCAGGTGCTGGTGGTGTGGGATATCAGCATAGGCAAAGCCAGAAACTACCGGCTGTTTGAAGAGGTAAAAACCTGCTGCTCTTTTTTTTTATATTTTCACTATGTATAAAATTAGAATGAGACATAATGATAATGTAACATTTACAACGCGCGACTAAAGTCTACCGTCACTGTGGCTGTTTTTGACAGGAGGGCCACATTTTTCTGGACACTGAAGTGACCTTCCCCAATCTGTCAGCTCTGATCGAACACTACTACAGCCATCCTCTTCCTCACCACGGCTCGCTCTGCCTTCAGAAGCCCTTCACAAAGACACTGAGCATCTGATCAACCTAAGTTACAGCTGAAACCAGTGAGGAACAGAGAGTCAGGAATGCCTGTGCAACTGAAATCCACCTTCGTCAACGACACATGGAAATACACTCACTAACTGTGAGAATATATTAAAACAGATCATACCTCTCACAGTTTGGTGGAAGAGAAGACAGATCACTTTTCTCCTGTTGCTGCACCCGAACCCACCATCAAGCTTCATGTTAAGCAGCAAGGACAGTAACTGTACTAAAATTCCTACTGCTCGGACACCAGGTATTGTGTGTGCAACTTATGTCGATCGTGACGACAAAAACAACTTATTGTAGTACAAACTAGACTCCTTTCTTAACGCAGCAAGCCATTCTAATGCTCTTGTGTGCACTGAAGACATCAGCTTCTGTAAATACACATCAGTTATTAAGTTATGACAAAGAACATCTAGAAAACTCTCAAATGGACCAAAACATCTGAATTAGTCAGACACCTGCGCTGTCTTTGAAATATTCCTGCTGCTTTATGCAAACTTAAGAATCGGTGTGATGAAGCATAATCTAAGAGCCAGTACGGCCAGTCAGATGGATGAGATGTATTTTGTCCACAGGGGGGCGCTGTGACACCAAAAAAGTCAGTCCAGCTTTAAATCCAGGTCACGAGGGTCCTTTGTCCCATTGCTCACACTTGCTGTACTAAAAAGTCAAGTGTACTAGAACTGACTGTGACACAAAGAGAGCATCACCCCGTCATCACAATACACAGCTGGTTTGATTTGATTTTCACTTAAAGGACAACCCATTAATGACTAATCACTATGTTTATTAAGAGGCAGAAACACAAAATCTGCTCGAGACATGTGGCTACACGTGACAAACTCAAAAGTTTGGTAGAGATAGTTGATTTACTTTTCAAAACAAAAATAAGTTTAACATTTATTTGACATGTTAAATATCAGTTTTGTACTGGATCAATGTACATATTATTGAAACTGAAATTGCTGAATCAAATGGTACCAAGCATTTAATATAGCTCCCTATAATTGTTGAGATTCAGTCATCTCTGTATATTACAATAGTCGGTCGTTAGTCTCTTGGAGTTACTCATTTTATCCCATAAGAATACATTATAAAAGGCCTCTGTCTGCACAATGGATATACTGGACCAAGAAGGGCAACAGATTATGATTTTTCTTTTTGAAATATATTTTCTATAAATAACATTCCAGAATATGTATATGTATCAGAAACTATGAAGATCTGAAATTCCTAACCTGCTGTCCAAAAGGTGTTTTTCTGGAAAATCAAAAAAGCAACCCCTGCTAACGACTAACACAAGTATGGAAATATGTTAAGAAAAACCTGAGCTTTAGCCTCAAACTTTGCAGAGCTGAAACATTTCTGTGCATTTGTGCCTAACTACTGTTAGTGCTGTAAAGGAAATTATAAAATTCCACTATGGACATTAATGGGTTAAGTAGTATGGGGCCATTATTGTAGCAAAACTATTTACAAATGTGAGTAGTAGAAGTAGAGTTGTGTAACTGTATCGTATGTCTACACATTTACAGATTTGTCTTCACATGCAAATGTCAACACAATCGGAGATGGATTTTTTTTCCCACATTTACAAATCTGATTACACACACAGATTGAGACACAGTCACACAACTCTCCACTCACATTTCTAAATAGTTTTGCGACAATAATAAGGTCAGTCCAACCTTACAGCATTACAGTTACATTCAGAAATCCAGTTCTACTGCAGAAGCACCTCGACCCACTGTATCTTAAACAGACATAAGCTGTTATATGGTTTATATAATAATAATTTCTCTGCATATTGTTTGATATTCAGGCTGAATCAAACAGGTTCAGCTTTTTTATATCTGTTTATTACTGTCAGTCCTAAAACTAACTTATGTGTGGCTGTGTTACTGCCAACTGGACTGGTGTGAGACTGTGGTGAATTGTGGGATACCCTTATCTCTGAATGCTCCTCTGAAACCGTACTAGAATAGTTGTGGGTTAAGTGAAGTACATGTGGACATTTTTCACACACTTGTCTACAATAGTGTGGGTACTGGCACATAGCCGTTGTCTTCTGTATTCTCATAATGTGATCCAAGTCCATTCAAATGTTGCCAGTGTCCGGAGGAAAACGACACAAAGACGCATCCTCCCAAAAAGACACATAAACCTCAAGTCATTAGTGAGAGGGCAGCAGTGTTTCACAAACCTACATGGTTGTGTCCAGATTTTGTACCTCTGTTATCTGTGTAATGAACAGGCAACATCTCACTTATTTAGTGTGCAAAACACACACAGCACTGTAGAACGCTCCTTTAATGAGAGAAAGTACAACAAATCCAGCTGAAATTGGCTCTTCATCAGGTTTCGGTCTTGAAAATGTTGTTGTTGTACTCTAACGCAGTGGTTCCCAACCTTTTTACTTTAGGGACCCCTTTTCTATCATTTATTATACTGACGAGCCCTAAAAAAGTGACATATATTTTGTTTGTGGAACATTTCATACATAATTCTCCTTTTGTAAAAAGTATTTTTTTTTTTCATTTTTAACAATCATACAGACTTACTTGGCTTCTTTTTTGCCTAGCACGCCTTAAAATCAAGAAGGCTTCGCAGTCCTCCATGAAGATTCGGCGACCCCCAGGTTGGGAACCACTGCTCTAATGTAAAGGAGGATAGAAAAAACTCACTCACAAAAGCTAAAACCTGACCATAACTGGTGCAAAATGTCAGACTGAACATGAGGAAATCAGATTGGTTTTTGTTCTCAAGTGCAAATACAGATTTTACAGCACTGACTTGCTGTAAATTACTCTCTATTTATATGTAAATGCTGTATGTACTGTAAAAACAAAACTGTCTATAAAAATGTAAATATATTGTTTTCTACAGAAATATATGTTGAATTGTATAAAGTATTACTTCAAGGTTCCTGTTGTAATCTCTTCTTTCTTTTTCTAAACTTTCAGCTTCATGATTATTGTCCTACCCCTAGTAAGTCACCTAATGTAAAGATAATAGCTACATAGATGATTATTTTACTATTGTTCAGCACATTTTTATGAAAATGTTTCATTCACTCTCAATGATTTAAACAACTGGTTTGTTAATTTCCCGATTGTTTGGGCACTGAAATGATTGAGTTTCATTTTATGACCAAAACATTACCATAGATGCTGTAAATGGGTTCATTTGAAATATTTGGGTCACTTGCTGCATTCAAATGTTTGCTGTTCAGCAGCCAATTCCCAAATGTGAGATGTTGGAGCTTCATTAAGATTTCAGTCTCTGCTTCTAACAGCATGTCAGGGACAACAGAGGAACATACATATTGCATCATCATCAGCGTCCCCTGTGGCTGGGCGGCAGAAAACAGCACACAGCCGCTGGTGAGAACCACAGTTGTAGTGGCTGTGTCGGCCACGAGGGGGCAGCAGCAATGAGCCTTTTCCCAATTCGTAAAAATATGTGTACAAGCCTGCCTCAGCTTCCGCTACTGAGCATGGCTGCTTACATCGACCATTCGCCTGGCTCCAATTGTGGCAGGATGCTGCTCTCAGTTAGCATAAAGCGACACGAGCTTGTTCAGTCCCGGAGCCCAAAGTCACATAGTGCACGAACAGGCGTACGGGACACAGAGTGGGAAATAGAGAGGTACCATTCACCCTGTTACGAGAATGGTAGTGAAGCTGTTATTTTAAGGTAGAAAACTTACATAATGTTGCTTTAAAGGATGAGGACTAACTGCTCGATCAAATGCATGTCTGGTCCAAACAGTCCAAACCAGTGCTATAAGAGAGCTCTATCAAGGGAGGCTTATACGTGCTAATGCCAAATGCTCCTTTACGGAGCAGTCAGAGTAAATACTGTGTGTTGTATATGTGTCAATAACAATCTGGGTAGTTTACCAGATTTCCATTTTTTCAGCTTTAAGTGTCGCTGTCTGTGGTGCTGAACAGCACTTAAGGTCCAATGAGAGCACACAGATCAGTGTAATAAAGTGAATGACTGGATTAACAAGCTTATTGTGATACACCCACCCATTCGTTCATCTTCATGGATATCTTCACAGTTATAAAATACTGATAGATGTCATTTCTATTGAAAGTAAATGGGCAATTTTATGTTTCATAAACCAGCCACACCTTCCATCTGGTTTCAGTCAGCACAAAAGGAGGATGCCTCAAGGGGTGACACGTTTGCACTGACTTTCTCAATTTTTCAAATGAAATATATTACTTTTATGTATTTCACTGCTGTGGTACCAATCACTGTAATCATTTCTCACAACTTTAGAGCTCATTTTGGAAGAGATGAATCATTCTGGTGTGGTATTAAATCAAAGCAGAACCTCCTCTCCCCTCTCTGCTGCCTTCTCTGAGGGCTACGCAGAGAAAATAAAGATCCTAAAGAGAGTGGACTAGCAGCTCTCCTTCACAGAGAGATAACAACGCTCCCCCGTCGGCTACAAACATCTTCAGAAACCTGGCCCAGATCCGGGCATGATTAAATATCTGCTTTCAGCCAGTTGTGAGGGTCCCCGCTGCTTCCTGGTGAGATGTGGATAAAGCTGTTTGGTCTGAGGAAGTGTTGATATCTGTAGGCTGTGTGCAGTTCTCCGCCTTATAAATGTCGCTTCTCTGCCTGATTTAAACATACAGAGTTATATTTTTTCCATGATGAGATGAAAATGAAAAACTGAAACCCTACCTCGGGCCGGGTTTTATGAACCATCTCTAGCTGAGTTCCCTCAGGTTTTTTTTTTATTATTCCTTTTGCTCTGGTTGAATCTCAGTTGTTGTATCTAGTTTTATTTGCTCCTATAACCAACTGTGAAAGCTGCTGTTTCATTGCACTGATGGATACGTAACGTTTCTCTCTCTGCTGTGAGCCACTCTGCAGAGACAAACATTACATTACAATTAAATATATCCAAGTTGTGTAATGCCTTAAAGGAACAGTGTGAAGGATTTAGTGGCATCTAGTGGTGAAGTTGCAGATTGCAGCTAACTGAGCACCACCATCAGGAGAGGTAGTTTGCGACAAGCAAAGTTCTCCGTCCTGCTGCAAAAAATAAGAATAGAAGACGAACGGTAGTCTAAACTGGTAAGCAAAACATTCTACTAGCCTATTTCACTTTAACCAATAAATGGGGGGGGGGAGAGTCAATCTCCACAGCGAGAGCACAATCCATAATCGTTTAACATACCTCTAGCTGGATAAAGTGGTATCTAATTCTTTGCTTAGATATATGTCAGGACAATGTTTGTGAGTTTCTTGATAAACGGAGAGGAAAAATATGACAATTGGGCATACTCGTCACTCTCTTTGCAGTCAAATATACAAATGTCTCGCATCTTGCGCGACAATACGACAGTTAGACAGGAGTGAACATTTCTTTGTTCGGTGCGCTGACCACTACGAATTTCGATCTGCAATCTCTCAACTTCAACCAACATTAGAAATGCCACTAAAGTTCAGGTTGTGTCACTACCATCTGCGGTATTCCTGCTAAAGTGTTTGTAACAACTGATAAATTATCACGTTGGTTTATATCTCTTAAATCAAAAGATATCATCTTCTGCCGAGTACCCCATCCACACGCAAAAAAGACATTGGACACTACTCTGTGTTAACTCCACATACGCCCGAGAGACATGCAATATTAATACAAATGCATGCTCTAACTTCAACAGTGGGGTTATTGGCAAGTAGAGGAAAGGTGCGCATGAGAAGTAAGATTACGAAATATAGATACATATCAATCTTGAAAATGGTTACAAGCCAGTAGCGGCTATAGAGGGGAGAGAATAGGATTAAAGAACACTGGCTAACGCTTGATACACAGACCTGAAGCGGATCACTCAGGCTAGATGAGATTTTAGAGTGAATGTCTATGAGAAGAAAACCTGCGCCGCTTCGCTATGTTAAAGAGAGGAGGGGAAAGGAGAGAAGTAGAAGGAAGCTAAGAAGGAAAAGACATTTCATAATTTCATATTTTAATTTGTTGTGTCACTTCACTCCTGCAAATAATATGGGAAACCGCGAAAAATATAAATTCCCACCAGTGACTCTGTGGCAATACTGATGAAAAAAGAGCAACCAGTGCCTCAAATGGTTTCATTCACGACAGGGTGAATCAGAGGACGACACATTATCTATATAATATCAGTTTACCAAGCGCGAGAATGCGGACAGCAACCAGCCTTATCGCTCTTAGGATATTCAATCACTCCTCCAGGACCAGTGTACAAGTCTCTATCTTAGCAGAATCAATCACTTTTGCTCACCAGGCCAAAATGGTTTCTTGCGAACTGCGTGACGAGTGACACGCTCTCTCCACACACTCTAACACGAAACACTTCTGGCTAGAGAAAAAGCAGAGGTATTAAACTATTAACATGCGACAAGAAAAGTTGGCAAGTGCGTGCTCAGGCGATTTCATCTTGTGAGCACTAGTTGCTTGATAGAAATCGTACGGCCAGACGGAGGTGTGTGTTAAGCGGGGGGTGGAGTGGCGGCTCTGGGTGAGAGGGGGTTCATGGGAGAGAGAAAGAACCGCTGCTATGAGTACTCGCTCTCGTCATTACATTAGGATCTTTATTTTTCTCTGCGTAGCCTCGCTAAGGAGCGAGTAAGCGTCCATGAACAAGCAAGAGGATGGCGAACGACGGAAGGAGAGTGTTCTCATGTCTTTTGTTACCAGTTAGATTAACCAACCTGATTACTCCAAGAATAACAGATATTCATCTCTGTCAAAATGATGCCGTTCATATATAATGTTGTGAACACTAAACCATAATATTTGATGTTTGAGGTACAGCGTTTGCTACAGCCACAATAAAGAGAATATAGTAACAGACAATCTCTTCAACTAGACAACAAACGACCAGAGAAGGAGTATTTGCCGACGTGGAAAAGTAGATAGATTGCAAGAATCTTTTTCACATACAGAGCTGTCGGTGATGCTGATGCTGGAAAACTGCCACAACATTTACTGGTTAGCATGCATGTGAGGGGAAGCGGCTTAAATGAAGCCATCTGGTACCTTAAATGTTCACCTTGGGTTTTGCGCCGGTTAACACTATGCAGTGACATCTATCTGCCATGTTTGATTAGAGATTTTTGACAGTGCACAAAATAATTAGCTTTTCAAACACTTATCCAGTCTGCTTGCAGCCACCGCAGACTGGATAGTCATCACATAGTGACAGCAATTTTATCCAGGATATCTCTGTCCACGGCCCATTCTTGCCCTCAAGTCACAGCCCAGGTGCTCTTATGGATAGCTTAAGCCACTCTGTTGTTGATGTTGGTGCAAAATAAATCTGACACATACTCATAAACCTGTGTGTAATATAGGTGTCCCTTCAAATCTTACTTATGTGGGAACACATCGGATATTAGCTTTATATATACATGTGTACAGTACAACGGATACTGCTTCTGCAGCTGTCAGTGTTACTCTGCACTTGTCCCTCACAGATAAACTAATAAACTAGACTAAACTATTCAATTCAATTCAATT